TTCACTGTTAAGTATAATGTGTTAACTATAATAACCTAATATACATAATGTGTTAAGTATATGTTAAATATAATATGTTAAGTATAATGTGTTAAACCTACTGTTAATTAGGATATTTTTGGTATGTTCTCTTTTTTAAATTGAGGAAGATTTCCTTTCTATGTAGTTTGCTGATAGTTTTAATCATGAAAAAGTATTTGCTTTTGTTAAATGCCTCTTCTGAGTCCACTGATATGATCGTATGGTTTTTCTTTTGCCTGTTGATATGGTGGGTGATACCGATGATCAAATATTGAACTAGCCTCACATGCCTGGAATAACTCCCACTTGAACATGATGTGTAATTCTTTTCGTACATTTCTTTGTTAATACTTTGTTGAAGATTTTAAAATCTTTGTTCATGAAAGATATTGGTCTGTAATATTCTGTTTTTGTATTGTCCTGGTCTGGTTCTGGAGTCAGGATAATACCACCTCATGAAATGAGTTAGGAAGTGTTGTTCCGGTTTTTTTCCTGAAGAAATTGGGTAAAACTTTTCACAAATTTCTTTTTTTTAAACTCTGTTAGAATTCTCCAGTGAAACCATCTGGGCAGGGAAATTTGTTTTCTAAGTTATAAATTCAGTTTATTTAATTGTTGTAGGACTATTCAGGTTGTCTTTTTCATCCCAGTTGAGTTTTGGTAGTTTGTGGTTTTCTAGACATTGGTCTGTTTGTTCTAAGTTGTCAGATTTATTAGTATAAAGTTGTTCCTGGTATTCCTATACACCCTTTTTAATGGCTGTAGGATCTGTGATGATATCACCTGGTTCATTTCTAATATTAATTTGTGTGTTTTCTTAATCTTTGTCAGTGTTGCTCAAGATTTATCAGTTTTATTGTTATTCATAATCCTGGTGATTAATTTCATTGATTTCTCCTCTTTATTATTTGCTATTCTTCTGCTTGCTTTGGGTTTATTTTGTTCTTTAAGTTTTTAAAAGCTCAGAGGAAATTTATAGCACTAAGTACTTACATTAGAAAAGAGGAAAAGTCTTAAATCAATAATTTAAGCTTCTTTATAATATAAGCATTTAGTGCTATAAATTTCCCTGAGCACTGCTGTCCCTAGCTATGTACCAAAATTTTTGATTTTTGTATTGTATTTTTGTCTTCATTCGGTTTGTGTATGTTTTCAGTTCTTTTGAGATTTCCTTTTTGACCTATGGAAGTATGGTCATTTGACCCGTGGGTCAAAGAATTGTGATGTTTAATTTCTGTATGTTTGAAGAATTCCCTCTTTTGTTTTTGTTATTGATTTCTAGTTTGATTCTATTCTAGTCAATGAACACACACTGATTTTTACTTACTTTAAACTTAAATTGTTCTTCATTCTGTAGTTTCCTGGTAGAAATGTGAGTTACTGATTTTAGATCTTTCTTTTCTACTATGTGTGTTTAGTATAAGTTTCCCTTTAATTACTGATTTGGCTGCATCCTATTACTCTTTGATGACTTGTATTTCATTTTCATTTAGTTGAAAATTTGTTTTATTTCTCTTCAGATTTCTTCTTTCACCTAGACATTTAAAATTAAGTTGTTTACTTTCTAAATATTCAGGAATTTTCTAGCTATCTTTTATTGATTTCTAGTTTAATTCCATTCTTGAGAACATAATTTATATGATGTCTTTCACATTTTTTAAGGTGTGGTTTTATGCCCAGATTTTGTGAAATTCTCATTTAAGTGTTCCTGCCAGTTTATGGCTCTGGCAGCTCTGTCCAGGTGGGCAGATCTCAGCTGTGACTTGATGTATAGTTCACGGGCATTTGAAACAAACAACATATATTCTGCCACTATTGGATGGTGTTCTGTCTATGTCAGATTTTTAATTTATTGTGTTGTTCAATTATTCTATCCGTTGGTGAGAGTAAGTTAATTGAAGTCTCCAATTCTATGTATGAATTTATCTATTTCTCCTTTCATCTCTATTATTTCTTAACAGCTTTATTGAGAATTCATGTATGATATAATTTCACCCATTTAAAATATACAATTCACTGTTTCTTAGTACATTCAGTGAGATGTCCAACCATCACTCCAATCCATTTAAGAACATTTTCTCACCATGATGGAAACCGTGAACATTTAGCTGTTGCCCCGTCCCTTTATCCCCATCATATCTAGCCCTAGGCAACTGCTTATCTACTTTCTGTCTCTGTAGATTTTCCTGTCCCCAGGGCTTTGGCTTGGGGGCATGGGCTTTACTTGGAGTCAGTTCTGTCTGTGCCTGTTACTGGTTCTGGATTGGAGGCTTCTACCGCATTCTGTTTAAGATGTAGAGGGCAATAAAGTACCCAGGGAACTGGCCAGCACTGCATTGTTCAAGTCCCACAGTCCCTAGGCGGTGTGCCTTCATTCTCCCTTTCACAGCTTGCTTGTGCTTATTTGCTGTGTTTGTCCAGAGTGTTTCAGGTATAGGGGAAAAACCTGGGAGGAATGGGGCCTACCCCATCTTGGCCAAGCCAGAAGTACCCACTGAAATATACTTCCCCCCCAAATCCAGAGGGATCCACCAAGAGTAGTTGTTTCTCTGTAGTAGGCAGTTCTGGATACAACTCTTCTATTCCATTTGAAACTGCACTGATGTAGCAGGCATGTGAACTCTTGTAGGATTTCTCTCTCACTTCTGATAATCGTGTATCTATTAAGACATCAAGGGTGTGTGCTACTTCCAGTTTTTATTCCCCTTGCAAGTACATTTAGCCTTAGGGAAGAAAAACACTTGTTGGACCTCCTGGAAATTTTCAGGAGGTGGCTGAGCAGAGTACACCACCTTGGGTCCTCTCCACAATCCCATTTCTCCTCCCTCTAGAGTCTGCAAGGGGAGTCTAGCATAGCTGTCTCATCAGCTGTTGGCCTCCACTGAGTCAGTGCTTCTGTTAACCATTCCTGGGTGCCTAATGTATTACATTCTGATGTCTAGGTGAAATACTCCTGTTGGCCTGATCCAATCTTACATGCATTCTTGCTGGCTAATGTACTTAGAATCCATTTCCATGTATGCCCTCCAGGTTCCTGTTAATATAATTTGACAAGATCCTGCAACTCCCAGCAGCATGTACATGATTTCCTCCAAGAGGAGGCCTTGCAATGATCTCCAGATCATGCTAGGATTTTACTCTTTTTGGCCCTGTAGGCAATGAGTATTGATGGTTGTGGGTCTTCAAGAGTTTTCAGATGACCACCCCAGATGAAGCCATTGAAACATTTTTACACAAGGGAATGCTAGTTTTCTTAGAAGGCAGAAAGGGCTGTTTCTGATATGAAGAAATGTTTAGAGATGTTAGAGAGCCAAGGTTCTTAGATTCATGCCTGTCTAGAGGCTCCCATATCATTAAGTCTCAAGTTCCCACTCTTTCCCAACAGCACCTTTACCTTAGCTGAAGGGACATGGCATAAATATATCTTGATCTGGCATGTGATCCTGAAACCTCTACATTGAGCCTCAGTCATGTCCCTTGCAGCTTCATAAAATAAGGATTCCTTTAAGGCCACCATAAAAACTTTCTGATTCTCTGCCCATGCCTTGACTTAAGATCTCAAGGCACTAAGCTCATCATTTTCTTTTTGGAATCTCTTCAGCACAGTCAAAAGAAGCCATCTCACCCCACAAACTTGGAATCACCATGATGCCATAGCAATCAAGTGCCATAGCCATTTGCTCTCCCAATGGCTTGCCCTCCTGTTACCTTCTGTTTCAGTGATATTTGAGTCACTGTGGTGCCACCACATGCTACAGATTAGCAGGATCCCACTTCTCCCTAGTAAGAAAGAAAGCCATTCATGTACTCACCAGCCAAACCTCAGAATCTCACTTGGATGAGCTGCTTCACTGGGCCACTTCTCATAACACATACTGTTCATCAGGGCTAGAAAACAAAATGCACATTTGGCTGAGACTTTGAAGAGAAATTAATGAAGAGGGACAATCAGCTGAAGTTTGGGCAGGGTGCAGAGCACCCAGAAGGATAATGAGACAGCCAGGAACTCACAGCAGGAGGAAGCCCCTACCATGCTTAGTCCTTGGGCCTGAAGGGCAAAGGGAGCTCTGGAGCCTGGCGAGAACCAGAGGTGGCAAAGAAGGTCTGCCAGATAGGAGCTCCAGTTGTAGAGGGAGAGAGGGAGTGGGGTGGAATACTCAACCTTCCCTCTTCCTGCCCTTCAGCCTCCTGCTGGTGCCTCCCACTGGCCTAACCAGAAGCTGAAGATGAGGCAGCTTTGCTGGTAAAGTCTATAGAGGTCCCCTTCCTGGGCCATGGATAATGGCAGACTGGGTTGAGGGTGAGGAAATGGAAAACAATCAGCACAGGGGATCTTGTGGAAATAATAGCAGACTCTTCTCCCCCTACCAGAGGATAGCACTTCTGCCTGGAAAACAAGGCATCTAACAGCTGGAGCTGTCAAGAGTGGGCCGGACGCCCCCTGGGATTCGTGACTTGCTGCACAAAGGTGCTCAAACCTCTGCTGTATGGGGAAGACCTCTGAACTGTATTATTCAGATTCTGAAATGACCTCTACAAGCAATCTATGTGTATACATACATTTGTAGGATAAATTCCTTAAAATTATGTTGTTCAAGCTCTGTGGTATATATGTGTTCTGGCTAAATGGGTGAGATTTTCTGTTACATCATTTTTATAATGGACTTCAAATTCTATCATTGCACTGTTGGTTCTAGTAAGAAGAATGCGAAATGTAATGTGGAAAAGGTATTTTTTTTCTTAGTTTCTACTTTAGGGATAGTATATCCTCTGAACACTACTATTAAAATGAACATTCACGTGCACATACTTCACCTGATTCCAGTGCTCAGTTTTAACAGGAAATTTAAATTTCTACTATGCAGTTTGTTGACTGGCTAATCCTTTATTTTAACAAAGAAAAAAGATAGTTTCTAACAGAAAGAATCAGAAACTTTAATCTTGAACTCACAGTGTTCTCTCCCTTTCTTCCCTTCCAGGAGGACAACTGTTAGTTTTGTGGCTTACTGCTGCTCCACCCAGTGTCTGCAGACTTTTGACCTGCTGAGTTGATAAACACTCAGGAGCCTCAGGAGCATTGCCAGCATGACGCTGGGGAATGCGGCCAGTCCAGAACAGACTCTTCCATCCTGTCCTGTCCAAGGCGGGGCACTGCGGAACTCTGGAAATGTCATGATCGGGCTTCAGAGCTAAAATGCCTCACCCTTCCCCCAAGTTGGAATATATCCTCCCCCAAATTAAGGACCCGTTTGTCTCTCTGTTTTTCCTTTTTGTGAGTGTGTCTTTTACACAAACTGTTTATAGATTGATGGGCCTCCCCAAATCTAATTTAAAGCAAGTTTCAGGTCCCTGGAGAACAGTGATTTGATCATCTAACCAGATTCCCTTTTGAACACAGGTACCTTCAGTGATGCTTCCTCTCTTCTCCCTTGCTTTCCCCAGAGAGTGATTTCCCTGAGAGCATATTCTGCACAGTGTCTCCAGTGGAAATTTGTCAGTTTTTGAGGAGTTTCAGCAAACCCCATGGCCTCAGTGGTCTTGAGTAGAAGGGTGGGGTGCCTCAGTTGGCGGCAAAGTGAGACTCCCATGGAGGCTCAACGAGGATCCCAGAGCACACACCCTCTGGAAAGTTCCAGCCTTGTTTGTAAGTTTTGCTATGTAGCAAGAGACTTTTGTGAGGGATTTTAAAAACAAAACTCTAGATTGTAATGAAATGCACTCTTATTTTTTAAAAATGTTTACAGAAAAAAAGTTTAGAAATTTTTAAATTTTCTGATAAGATTTGTTTATATGAGAAGAATTGGAGGAATATTTGAAGCTTTACAAGATCTGATCCTTTTCCTTTCTCGATATAAAGTTTCCATACAATGAGAAAGGGAGAGAAAACACACATTGAAATAAGACCTCAGTGTTCTTTTTTGATGGGTTTATGGTTAAATTTATACTGACTTTAAAATATTTTTTGTCACATGTGAAAGGCTTCAGCTGCTTCCATTACTAGTGTTTAACAAGGTGATTCTAAATACAGCCTGTGCACATTTACTTATTCACCTGATGCATGAGATTATCTTCATTTTGACCCTAGTTTCTTATATACTTAACATATACTGCCCAGATGCAACTGAGAACATACAGGAAAAGCAGATCCAAATTCAGCCTTGGACTTCTGCAAAAGTCCATAAACAGAAAGTCTGCGAGCCTCCACTCTGCCAGAAAGAACTGCTCTTCATGAATAAGTCACGTATTTGCTCTTCCTTTCAAAGGATGGCATTTTAATGTTGCTTTGCTGCCAGATGTTCATCTGGTTGCTGTGAAGTGATTCTTTTTTTAAAAATGTTTTTTAATGATGTAAGTTTTCTAAAAGGCAGGGCTGAAAGGAGAACCAAGATTTGCTTGGTAGAAAAATTATTTTTTTTAAATTTCAGATTTATGAAAAATTTGGTTGATGGAATTTTTATTAGCTGCCCTGACTTTATAATGCTATGTTCTAACAGTGCCAAAAATCCTACATAGTTACTGACAAATGTGTGATCTTTTTACAGTCACACCACCTGCTGCCCGGAAAGCACACCATCCACGTAGAATGGAGAAGGCAGAAAGTTACCATGTGTTCCCACTGTATCTGCACTGTTCTTACTTCCTCTTGTTCCTTTTCATAACTTGCTCTATTCAGCCTTAACATTTCAAAGGCTTATAGTAAAATAGGAACTGAAGATCTCTATCAAAATGTAACACTTCTTTCATCCTTTGGAATAATTGAAGTTTTAAGGTAACCTCTACATGTATATAAGTAAGCAGGTGAAAAATGTGGCATGAAATTTCACAATTGTGCCTCAGGCCTAAGTGACTGCTACCTGTCATTTAAGTGACAGTAAATATCTTGCTACATTTTTCTATTTCATCCTCTACAATCATATGTCATGGAATGGAGCTGTGAAACCTGCTAACTTGATATTCAGGATTCTCACTGCGATAAGGTAATACATTAGTTTTACCTGGTTTGAAATTTTACAAAGATGCTTACAATCCAAGCATTCTTTCTCTATCTGTTATGAACTACAGTGTGTTAAACAACAGCAGTGGTCTGGGCATACAACCCTTGTGCAGTCTAAGCCTTCCTCTTTGGGTACAGCACCAGAACTTAACTGATGAGAAGTGGAACTTAAATGGTTTCCCTGGTGCTGTTCGTTATGGAAATTCTGTGCTGGATTCATCAGTGATCAATGTCATTCTTAATCTTTGGATATTATAAAGGAGTGTTATCAACTGGAGAAAATTTGCCTACATGCTATATATTTGAACTGTGTCCAGAGCTTTGCAGAAAAATATATCTGAAGTTATTATATATGTTGTTTTCTTGAGCAACAGTGACTCTAGGTAGAAAAGCATTTCACACAGTAAGAATAAGGCAAAAAAAAAAAAAGTGAACTACTTGGAAAGTATCATCTGTCCAGGTAAGTTTTCTTCAGTGAGCTCATGTGTGGTTGGTGGTAAAGTCCAGGATAGCCTCATGAGCATAGGCTTTCCTATGATGTGGTGCAAAGGGGGCCCGTTTTAGTGGATTACCCTATCATTGTTCTTCAATGTGCCCAATTATCACACCAAAAGCCTCAATTAAGTAACACTGTATGGAAGAAATCCTGCATCTTCAGTTAATACATGTTTTGAGCACACTCTTAAAATATAATTAAATGATCCCTATACAAAAGAGCCCAGCCTGGATGGAGGGTCCACTCTGGCTAATGGATAAGAGTGATGAACCTCTTCGTTATCTGGCCCTTCTCTTCTGGAAGAGAGAGGCTTACATTAAACATCTTTTGGTCAGCATGCCTCACAAAGACCTTTCACACTCCAGCTTGTCTGACTATGTAATGTTCATCTCACTTCTGTTTTACATTGAACATTATGAATTAAAATCTTTGCAGTCTAGGAAAAAAGAAGTCTTCAACACCAGTTGGTTTATGGGGCTCTGCACATAATTTCCTCTAAAATATATAACTATTTTGTAGTCTCAGGGGACTTTCAAAGCCAGTTTTTAAAATTATTAGCAGTACAGTTGTTTCCTGAATGAAAAATCAAATTCTAATCTTGCTATTAAGTGCTTAAGCACCATACAGTGCCTCAGCATAAATTAAAACATTTTTTATTAAGATGATTTATGAACATGGATTTCTACCTGGATCAACATTAATGCAATCTGATATAATTAAAAATTGAGATGTAAATTCATTTCACAGACTCATAAACATACTCTAAGACTCTTCTTTAAATGGATTCTTACATAACCCTGCCTGTTTTATTATGCCTTCCGTTTTGTGTTTCATTCACTCCTGCTTGTTTCTAATGAGGTTTTCCTGTATTTTCCCAGAAACTTAGCGAATATCTTATCTTTTCTTCAAAGGGCATTTTTATAAAGTTTGTATTCTTGAAACTAGCTCTATGTCTGTCTACAAATTGATTATTCAAGTCTCGGCCAGGCACGGTGGTGCATGCCTGTAATCCCAGCATTTTGGGAGGCCGAGGCGGGCAGATCACGAGGTGAGGAGTTCGAGACCTGCCTGGCCAGCATGGTGAAACCCCATCTCTACTAAAAATACAAAAAAGCCACGCATGGTGGTGCACACCTGTAGTCCCAGCTACGTGGGAGGCTGAGGCAGGTGGTTCAGTTGCATGAACCTGGCAAGTGGAGGTTGCAGTAAGCCAAGATCATGCCATTGCACTCCAGCATGAGCGACAGAGTGAGACAAAAAAAAAAAAAAAATCATTCAAGTCTCACCGTGCCTACCCAGAAGTACCTCCTTGTGTCACCAGCTAATAGATCTGAAAGTGATGCAGGTGTCTCTAGGAAAGGGATTGATCATTGCCAAGTAACTGATATTCTCACTCAGGAAAAGAGCTTGCTTCACGGCCTTTGAAGCATGACTATATGTGTGGTTCCCTTATACTCTGGAGACAGAAAAGTACTGGCAGCCAGTGTGGTGGCTGGGCAGAAGGTGGAACATTCAGAGATTATTTCTGTATGTAATTAAGAGACTTGCAAGGGTTAGCCGGGGTTTTTTCCACTCAAGTGTGGATTATCCTTGTTACCTGTGTTAAAGAATATCAGGTTTTGTTTCTCATGGTGATTTTTGAGTTTATAATGATTCAAGATTTTTAATAATGAAAGGATTATCCAGGTCTCTGAAAAATTATGGCAACATTGATTTGGAGTGTGACTAAAAACTCATACTGTATCCAGTTTGGTTGCCTCTCTCAGTTACTGCAGTTTATAGAATAATTGAGCTTGAACCATGTGAATGCTCAGAATGTCAGTGGTGAAGTATTTATTCAAGAGAAATGGCTGAATTCTCAGTATGAATGAGTTTTGTGAAGTGTTATAAGTTGCCCTATTCCTATTCCTATCTTCCCCCTTCCATCTCTGTTGTATCCTTGAAAACCAACAGTGTGCAATGAAGGTGAAAAGTAGCAGCCTGGAATCCACTAGGGGGTGCAGAATGGGGTTAGAATCCGTTAAAGGCTCATTCCCAGAGAACTGTCATTATTTGACCTGTCAGGCAGTTCCCTGGAAGACCTCATTTGCAAGACTGTCTTTATTTTACCAGATTGAAGCTCGCCAGGTATGAAAAGCCTTTTTCCCAGGGACATTAGTCAAGAAAGACTCAGAGGCAATTGATTAATTTTGTGGTTGCTTCAAGTAGTGGCTAACCCTTGGAGCAGACAATAGGCTAACGTAAAATGAAAAGCTAGGGAATAAGATATCCATAGGGACCTTGAAAAGCTCTGATATTGGGAATCTAGATGGTCATGTGTATGTATAAAGCTTTGCATATGCCAAGGGTTATACTCCTGCTCAGGAAAGACTTAACATCTTGAGCTTTCACCGTAAGTTGACCTTGACACAGAAGCAGAAAGTGAAGCCAAAGGCAGCTTCCTTCCTGTCACCTTCCTGGCTTCATGTTGAAGGGGTGCCCCAACAGGCACCCAGAGCCCTTACCACAGACTTGGAGACACAGCACAGTAAGGACACTCCTTTACTAGGGTTTAGGGAAATTTCTGTGTATTCATTAGCTGACCACTAAATGACCCTAGCATAAAGACTTCAGTATCCATGCACTATGAAGAATATAGACTTTACTGAATTAGTTCAGAATAGTCACTCAACAGGACTAAACAAGCCAAAACCCAGAAAGTACATCTAACCCTTAGCAAGGAGATAAAAAGGTAGATAAGTGTGATTTCCAGAGTTGCCACATTGTTCTTTGAAATGTCGTTTTTCACAGAAAAATTATGAGGCACATAAGAAAATATGTTCCATACATGGGGGGAGAAAAATAGAGACTGTACCTGAGGAAGTCTAGACATTGGATTTTTAGACGAAGACCTTAAATTGGCTATTTTAAATAGGCTCGGAGAACTAAAGAAAAATTATGCGTAAAGAACTAAAAGTATGAAAATGTCTCACTAAATAGAAAATGATGAAAAATTAAAAGAACCAAATATAAGTCTTGAAGGTGAAAATAGAGTAACTGAAATGAAAAATTTGGGGTACTCTAGTCTGAGAAACAGAAAAAACAATGAAGAAAAATGAATAGAGCCTCAGAGACCTGTGGCACATTCATACCAATATATGCATAATTGGAGTCTCAGAGAAAAAGGTAGAATATTTGAAAAAAATAATGGCCAAAGACTGAAATTTGATGAAAAGCATTGATTTACATACCCAAGAAGCTCAATGAACCCTAAGTAATATAAGCTCAGAGACCCATGCCTGGACACCAAATCACACTGTCCAAAGAATCATGGAAGCAAACAGAGAAGTGACTCATGTGCAGAGGATCTTTCACCAGAAACTATGAAATGTAGAAAACAGTGGGATGACATATTCCAAGTGGTAAAAGTAAATGACTATCAAATAAGAATACTATTTCCAACAAAACTATCTTTCAAAAATGATTAGGACATGCCCACATAAACAAAAACAGAATTTGTCATTACCAAGTCTGCACTACAAAAAATAATAAACAGGGAACTTCAGGCTGAAAAGATAATAGTAACTCAATTGCACATGAAGAAATAGCACTGGTAAAGGTAGCTATATTGGTAAACATAAAAGGCAGTACAAATGCATTTTTTGTAAATTTTTTTCCTCCTATCTGAGGCAACTGCATAAAACAATAATCTGTTTGGGTGTGCACAAAGTGAAAAACAATTTGTATGACAATAACATTACAAAGGAAGGGGGAGGGAACAGATTTACCAGAGCAAGAAAATTTTTTGTACTGTTGAAGTTGGTATTACTGTAATCCAAACTAGGTTGTTGTAAATCAAAATGCTATAATCATCAGGGAAATCACTAAGAAAATAGCTAAAGAGTATATAGTAAAAGCTACAGCAAAGAAAATGATACACTAGAAAAAAGCTGCTAACAAAAGAAGGCATAGAAATAATGGAAGAAGAAAGGAACAAAAAAAGACAAAAGACCTGGCAAACAACAAGGCTGATGACAGTGGCTTATGCCTATAATGCCAGCAGTTTTGGAGGCTGAAGCAGGAGGACTGCTTGAGCCTGGGAGTTCAAGGCCAGCATGGGCAACATAGTGAGGCCTTGTCTCTGTTAAAAAATATATAGAGAGAGAATTGCAGATTAAACCCCACCTTATCAATAATTGCATTAAGTGTAAATGGATTAAACACTCAAAAGGCAAAGATGGTAGAATGGATAATAATCATGGTCCAACTATATGCTGCCCACTAAGAAACGCTTTAGATTCAATGACACAAGTAGGCTGAAAGTAAAAGGATGAAAAAATACATGTAAACTGTAAGGAAAAAAGCTTGAGTGGATAGATCAGACAAAATACACTTTTAAATAAAAATTATTAGAGACAAAGACATTACATAA